ATGTTTTCCCTGATTTGGGGATTTATTCAAGTTCTTTACTTTTTTTCTTCAGTTACTTGCCTTTTCTTAGATGTCTAACATTTTGTTCCTTGTTAGCATCTTCCCTGAAGATTTTAATCGAGAGGAAGTTAAAATTGAATTGACACATCCTTTTATCCGTTTTCTGTTGGTGGTTGTTACCTGCTGCAGCTTTCTTTGGTTATTACCACAAATAATTGGCTACTGATAGTAATTTAAATAATTTTTTGCTATTACAAACTAATGAGTTTTTTGTTTTTATAAAATGTAAAGCTTAACTTAAAACTGTTAAGTATATTTTTTATTATTTACCAAAACATTGTTTTGAATATAAGTGTTATAAAGCCCATTTATTTATTTATTTATTTAAAAGCCTGAAGATAATAGAATCATGTATCTTTAATTTGTTTTTGTTAATCCTCACCTGAGGATATTTTTTCCATTTATTTTTTTAAAGAGTGGGAAGAAGGGAGAGAGCTGTATGGGGGGGGGGCAATAGTAAGATATGCACACATATAATACCTTAATAAAAAAAAAATCGAGAGGAAAGGAAGGAAGAAGGGAGAAAGAGAGAGAAAAAACTTCCTTAGATTTTTCAAAATAAAAATGGCTCGCCCGGCCAGTGTGGCTTGCTGGGCGTTGTCCTGTGCACTGAGCGCGCCGGCTCCATCCCAGTCAGAGCCAGGCCTGGGCTGCAGGTCCACTCATTGCCTCCCGCTGCATGCTGCCTGGGGCTGAGGATGGAACCTGCAGCCAGGCCTGGCTCTGACTGGGATGGAGCCGGTGCTCTCAGTGCATGGGACAACGCCGGGCGAGCCTTTTTTTCTTTTTTTTAAACCTAAGAAAGAAGTAAATTTTAAGATGAAAAGTAAATCTTCACTCCTTCCCATCCTGTGCTCATCTTGAAAAACCATTAAGTTTCTTGGATGGCATAAAAAAATGAAGCCTGTACTTGTACAAAGTGGGGTCACGGTAGAGCGTGTTCCGTGTTTAAACAAACACTAGACTGTGTCTTGGGCGCTTTTCTTATCAGGCACCCAGATCTGCTTCCTGTACAGATCCCGTCACGCTTCCTACGGTCCCAGAATTCCGTGTGTCTGTCCCCTGCTGATGGCGGGCCTCCCCCTGCAGTGGGCACTCCAGGCGTGTGTCCTGGGGAGCTTGATGGTAACCTCCTTGCCCGGTGCAGCCGACAGAAAGCTGACCAGCACGTGGCTAACTCCTCTGAATTGTTGACCATGTGAGAATTTTTCTTGATGGCTATATTTTAATAATTTTAGACATTAGGCTTGATATTTTTCTCTGAAGTGGTCCTGTAATGTAATTTTGTATTATTAAGGATTATACCTTTTTAATTTTAAAAAAAATTTTCTTTATTGATTAAAGTATTACATGTGTCTTATCCTCCCTTTGCCTCCCCCACCCCCCACTCATGCCCTCACCCCCCTGGTGTCTGTGTCCATTGGTTAGGCTTATGTGCATGCATACAAGTCCTTTGGTTGATCTCTTCCCCTAACCCCCACCCTCCCCTGCCTTCCCTCTGAGGTCTGACGGTCTGATAGATGCTTCTTTGTCTCTGGATCTATTTTGGTTCATCAGTTTATGTTCATTATATTTCATAAATGAGTGAGATCATGTGATATTTATCTTTCTCTGACTGGCTTATTTCACTTGGCATAAAGCTCTCCAGGTCCATCCATGCTGTTGCAAATGATAAGAACTCCTTTTTTTTTTTTTTACTGCAGCATAGTATTCCATTGTGTAGATGTACCACAGTTTTTTAATCCACTCATCTGCTGATGGGCACTTAGGCTGTTTCCAAATCTTAGCTATGAACATAGGGGTGCATATATCCTTTCTGATTGGTGTTTCTAGTTTCTTGGGATATATTCCTAGGAGTGGGATTACTGGGTCAAATGGGAGCTCCCTTTTTAGTTTTTTGAGGAAACTCCACACCGTTCTCCACAGCGGCTGCACCAGTCTGCATTCCCACCAGCAGTGCACGAGGGTTCCTTTTTCTCCGCATCCTCGCCAGCACTTGTCGTTTGGTGATTTGTTGATGATTGCCATTCTGACAGGTGTGAGATGGTACTGCATTGTTGCTTTGATTTGCATCTCTCAGATAGTGACTTTGAGCATGTTTTCATATGTCTGTGGGCCTTCCTTCTGAAGGATGACAACTTTTTGTGTTGCACATTAAATATTAGATTACTAAAAATTACAAAGGTTCACAGTCCGCCTCATGAGCAACCTGGGCAGTCACATGGGCCCTCCCTTGGTTTCATGCTCTGCTGTCACGGTCTCGATATTTTAGTAATTTTGCCCTGGACCCACAGTTTATGTATCCAGTCCTGTAAGACTTTTTGAAAGAAGCTTATAGAAGTAAGAACCCTCACCTCATGCTTCCCACTCCTGCTCCGTGTGGCTCACACTGACCACTTAGTTACCCAGATGGAGGTTTTCCAGACTGTGGATGTGAGAGGCCCACATATGTCATGCTTGAGGTTTTTGTAAAAACTGCTGAATTGAAATCTACTTAAAGTCAGTGCATATGTTCTTGAAAAACTCCATAATAATCTAGAATGCTACAAACTTAAAAAAAAAATTTTAACAGACTTTAAAAACCTTAGCTTTAAGAAGTTGGTACTGCACTGCATTTTTAGATTTTGTACTGCGTGTGTTTTTTTTTCAATTGTACTTTTTTTTTTTTATCCTCATATGAGGATATTTGTTCATTGATTTTTAGAGAGAAAGGGAACGACAGATGGAAATATAGATGCGAGAGAAACACATCGACTGGTTGCCTCCTGCCTGAGCCCGACCAGGGCCCGGGCTGGGAGGAGCCTGCATCCGAGGTATGTGCTCTTGACTGAAATCAAACCTGGGAACCTTCGGTCCGAAAAGCCGACACACTATCCACTGAGCCGCACCAGCTAGGGCAAAAGTGTGCTTTCATGAAGCTTTAGGGAAACAGCTTAAGTTTCAGAGTATATGATACCCATCTCCGATGATATTTCACCTTCTAAAACCTAACAAACTCCAGGTCCATCATAGGAATGAGAGTTTTTCGTTAGGCTTAATTGAACAAGGGATCACCAGTGGGTTTATAGGGTCACTTGGGGTTTTATTTATTACAATAGGTCAGAAGCCATGGGGAAAGGGACAGGCAGAGATCTCAGGGGCAGCTACAGGACTGGGTTAGAGGAGAATGAGCTCACACTCAGGATGGATCCTGCGTGATCGGCCATGTGGTGGGACCGGGGGAAACTGTCATTCCATCCTCCTGACAGTCTTGAGAGGTGGGATTGTCTCCATCTACAGATGGTGATGCTGTGGCTCAGGTCTCAAGAAGCTTCCCCGAGGTTACAAGTAACATGACAGCAGGAGCCCCGGTGTCTGCTCTTGCAACTTAAAGTGCACGTGCTGCCACTGCCCCACTAGAGGGTCATTCATTCACTCAGTGCTTGAGTGCCTGCTTCGTCCTCGGCACAGATGCCAAGACAGCAGTCAGGCGTGCAGGAGGCTCACCGGGGACTTGCCTGGGAAGGGCAGGAGGAAGGGCAGGGCACAGCGGATGTGACTGGGAAGGGAGCGGAGCAGGGACTGGGTGGAGCAGCCTCGGCCGGCAGTTCTGAGGAAGTCATGGCCAAGCTGATAGGAGGTCTGCCTTGGGCCGGGAGGCTGGGTCCAGCCCCCCTCTGATCAGTGTTGCTGTGGGCAGCCGGAGAGGCTTGTGGCCTGATGTCCTTTCTGGGGTGACTCGGAATGTGCAGCAGGCGGAGGCTGTCAGCCACCTGAGGGGACAGCCAACACGCAGGCACTGTTCTGTCCTGGGAGGGGTGGGAGAGTCCGATGACATGAGTAAGCAGTGCATCCGCAAGTCAAGTGAAGGTTTGTGCTAAGAGGAAGAACAGAGCAGGAGTGGCAGTGTTGCTGTACCGGGTGAACAGGGAAGGCTCTGGTAAGGTGACATGAGCTGAAGAAATTGGGGGGAGAGATGTGAGGACATCTCAGAGCACAGCAGGCTTTCCGGGGGAGGGCAGAACATGGGAGCACCCTGTTCTGGGTGCATTGTGAAGGTAGAACTAAGAGGAGGTGCTGATGGGTAGATATGGGATGTGAGAGGAGGGGAGTCAGTATGGTGCCAAAGCTTTTGGCTTCAGCAATGGAATCACCGTGTTGCCCTTGACTGACATTGGGAAGGTCATGGCAAGGATGGTGGTAGTGAGAATGCAGAGTGATTTTTATTTAAGACACTAGAGGCCAGATGAATGAAATTTGTGCGGGGGGAGGGCGGGGATTTGGTCCCTCAGCCCAGCCTGTGCCCTCTCTCAGTCCTGGAGCCCTCGGGATGTCCGACTGCCAACTTCGGCCCGCTCCCAAGCTATCAGTTGGACATCCTTAGCGGTGCCACAGAGGCGGGAAAGGCTCCCACCACCACTGCTGTGCTCGCTAGCCGTGAACCTGTCTTCTGACTGAGCGGTGCTCCCCCTGTGGGAGCACACTGGCCATCAGGAGGCAGCTCCTGCATTGAGCACTTGCCCCCTGGTGGTCGGTGCACACCATAGCAACCTGTTGTTCCAAAGTTTGGTCAATTTGCATATTAGCCCTTTATTTATTTATTTATTTTTAAATGTATATATATATATATATATATATATATATAATATATATATCAATAAAATCAATAAAATATATAATATATATATAATATATATATATATATATATATATATATATATTATATATTTTATTGATTTTGTACAGAGAGGAAGGGAGAGAGATAGAGAGTTAGAAACATCGATGAGAGAGAGTCATCGATCAGCTGCCTCTTGCACACCCCCTACTGGGGATATGCCTGCAACCAAGGTACATGCCCTTGACCGGAATCGAACCCGGGACCTTTCAGTCCCCAAGCCAACGCTCTATCCATTGAGCCAAACCGGTCCCGGCTTAGCCCTTTATTATTAGAGGATAAGTTGTGTCCTAGCCAGTTTGGCACAGTGGATAGAGCATTGGTCTGCAGACTTAAGGGTCCCAGGTTCTATTCTGGTCAAGGAATGTGCCTCAATTGCAGGAGGCTCCTTGGCCCGGGCCCTGGTCAAGGCCCGTGCTGGAAGCAACCAGTCCTTGTGTTTCTTTCACATTGATATTCCTCTGTCTTTCCCTCTCTCTTCCACTCTCCCTAAAAATCAGTGGAAAGATATCCTCGGGTGAGGATGCACCAAAAAAAGACATAAGTTGAGCGGCAGTTGGACACCTCATGTACCTTGATGACTCTGGAATTCTGGGGTTCATGAGAGAAGCAGAGGAGAGAGGACACTTGCAGGAATTGCTACATTGATAGGATTTGAAGTCTTGGGACTGGAGATCACTTAGAACGTGCTGTTCAGTACGGAGCCACGAGCCACACGTGGCTTCTGAGCACTTGAGGTGTTGGCTATTTTTTAAAAAATACATTTTATTGATTTTTTTTTTTTTTTTTTACAGAGAGGAAAGGAGAGAGAGAGAGAGAACTAGAAACATCGCTGAGAGAAACATCGACCAGCTGTCTCCTGCACATCCTCCGCTGGATATGTGCCCACGACCAATGTATATGCCCTTGACCGGAATTGAACCTGGGACCTTTCAGTCTGCAGACTATGATGCTCTATCCACTGAGCCAAACTGGTTTCGGCGAGAAGTGGCTATTTTTACTTGAGCTGTCTTGTGTCAAATATTCCCCAGATTTTAGAGACTCAGTATGGGAAAAAAGAATGTAAAATACCATCCGTAATCTTTAAATTGTATTGTATTTATAGTGATAATATTTTGGATATATCGAGTTAAGTGAAATATATTAAAAGTAATTTCACTGGGCCCTGGCCAGTATTTCCCGGTGATTGGAGCGTCGGCACATGTACCTAAGGGCCGAGGGGCCGAGTCCCAGTCAAGGGCACATTCTTGGATTGCAGGTTTGATCCCCAGTATCAGTTGGGGCATGCGTGGGGGGCAACCAATTGATGTGTGTTTTCTTTCTCATGTTGATGTTTCTCTCTCTTCCCTCTCCTCCCTCCTTTCACTCTAAAAATCAATGAAAAAAATATCCCTGCATGAGAAGTAACAAAAAGTAAACAAACAAATTGATTTTATTTGCTTTTCCCTTTTACTGTGGCTACCGGAAAACTTTCAATTCCACACGTGTGCCTCGGGTTTGCTGTGGGGACTGACGGAAGAAGTCAACGGGGAAGGTGGTGGCACCAGGCAGGAGAGGTGACCACGGACGTTAATGCTGGAGAACTCTTCTGGTTTTAAAGCACAAATGTGCCAAGAAAAACTTGAATGCTTTTGGAGACATATCTTTCTGACCATGAGTGTGGAGGAGGGTATTTGAAGACCGTGTTCTCAGACCTGGTAAAATGCAGGTTCTTTCTTCTTCAGCCTTAACTTATTCAGCCTCCCGCAGACTGGCTGCGGCCCACCCAACGGGAGGGCGGCCTGCTGTGCTCAGTCCACGGATCTGGACGTTACTGTCCTCGAGAAGCACCTGGCAGACACCGGCATCGTGCGTGCCCAGTGTCGGGCGCCCAGTGTCGGGCACCTGTGCCCAGTGTCGGGCACCCGTGGCCAGGCCAGCCGACACGCGGCAGAGCCCCCCCGTGCTGTTCCTCTCCCAAGGCCTTTCCCAGCTGCTCTAGTCACGCTCTCCGAGCCTGAGAGACACCCTTGTGTGTTGGCTCCTCCCCTGCGTTTCACCCTGCCGCTGCCAGCACCTCCTGTGGGAAGTCAGTCTGTGAGGCCTGCTGGCGCTGGCTCTCCTGTGAGTGTTGAATCCAACCCGAGTGCTTCATCTTTCCCTGCCCCAGGGCGGAAGGACACGCGGGATTTTACTAGGACATAATGGATCACACAGCGGGGATGCAGGTACAGAGAAGGTGCTGGTGACCAGGGAGGGAGCAGAGTGGTGTGATGAATGGATGTAAGGTTTTCTCTGGGATGGGAAGAATGCCACTGTTGAAGGAAGGATAGCAGTTAAAAGTGTGCGTCTGCGCGCTGCGAGATTCTTGTGCAGTACAAGGCCCAGTGGGCTTAGAGCACAGGCTAGGGGATTTTATTTGTAGGCAGTGACCTTAGTATAAATTGTACAGATTTTTTACGTTGAAACATGAATGTTCTAGGGTCTTTAACGTCTCAAGGCAAAAGTCATGCCAGCATTTATAGTTACTGGTGGTTGGTTAATACCTGAAAGATGCATTTGGATAAGATTACTCTAATTTATTAGATATTTCAGGGATGATACTCTATTTCCAGAGTTGTCTACTTTCATATTCACTGAGCAGAATACTTATTACTAACCCCCAAATCAAATATTTCTCATGATAGAAAACTTGACCAGAATCTTTAAGAAAGGACGGATCAATTTTGTTTAACATAAGTCATTTGAAAGTTGGTTTTTATGTTTAATGTTTAGTTAGTTAGTAACTACTTTTTTCCCATCTTGGCTTATTTGTTTTTCTGAGCCCTGCATTTGGTTGTGCCCTGAGGGATCTGGGAAAAAGGGAAGTTACCTTGACATTTTACATGTTATCGTAGATGCAAAAAGACAGTAAGCTCAGTAAAGGTAAAGATTGGTGGCCTAGGAGGTGACTACCCATGTCACTGCTTTTTGTTCAAGTTTAATGTCAGACCATCCTTTGTGGAGACGTTAGGTCTGCGTTTGCAGGCCGCCATGCAGGCCTCCCTGAGCCATCAGGTCAGCACGTGGCCCTTTTGTCCATAGGCGGGAGAAAGCCAAGCAGGAAACCTCTGGGTTTGGATAGAAAGCAAAGCAGAGGGACAGGCACTTCTTGTCCGTAGGAGGGTACAGCACAGTTAGCATGTACAGAACCGGAGGAGGGTGCCCACGGTTAGCATGTACAGAACTGGAGGAGGGCACAGCACGGTTAGCATGTACAGAACCGGAGGAGGGTGCCCACGGTTAGCATGTACAGAACCGGAGGAGGATACACACGGTTAGCATGTACAGAACCGGAGGAGGATACACACGGTTAGCATGTACAGAACCAGAGGAGGATACACACGGTTAGCATGTACAGAACCGGAGGAGGGCACAGCACGGTTAGCATGTACAGAACCGGAGGAGGGTGCCCACGGTTAGCATGTACAGAACCGGAGGAGGGTGCCCACGGTTAGCATGTACAGAACCGGAGGATGGGAAAGCACGATTAGCATGTACAGAACCGGAGGAGGGGACGGCACAGTTAGCATGTACAGAACCGGAGGATGGGAAAGCACGATTAGCATGTACAGAACCGGAGGAGGGTACATATGGTTAGCATGTACAGAACCGGAGGATGGGAAAGCACGGTTAGCATGTACAGAACTGGCGGTGGTCTGTGAGTGGCAGGGACAGCGGGGTCCCACTCTGGTGCAGGGCTGTGCCTCCAGAGTCTGGGCAGGGTTACGCTGCTGTTTCAAAGGCACCTTGTCTTAGGTGCACAGACAGCAGGCATGTCAAAGGCATGTGATCTCAGGGACACAGGACTGCAGACAAGGTCAGAGGTGAAGACTGGCCTGGGAGGGCCTCCTCCCGCTGGCTTGCGTCCTGGGTGTCCTCTGGCTCCGGGTGTGACCCGCCTGCGGCCTCCGGAGCCTGGTGGCGGAGTGTGCGGCCCTCCGCCCACCGCTGTCTGATTCTAAGTTTTCACCTTTTAGGGACAAAGGCATTTTGTAGATCTATAAGGACTTTTATGCAGGCATAAAAAACTGCCAGTTTTGTAGCCCTGCTAACGATGGTTGACATCTAATAGATCGAGAGGAACTGAGCACCTCAGTGGTTATCGTGATGTGGTAACCTGCAAAGAGAGTTTAATCTGTGAAAAGCAGTCCAGGTTTTTAAACCACAAATATTAACAGATGAGTATGAATCATCAAATAGCTGCCAGTCAAGTATCGATAAAAGAACTAAAACAGCGTTACTTTACATAAGCAGGCCGTCTCCTTAAGAGGCGGCCCCGTTAAAACAGAGGCGGATCTAAACTGTCGGAGAAGCTGTGAGGGTTCCACAGAGCGCTTCCCTTTCATTCAGTGTCACCAGAGGGAGATGCATGGCCTCTGCCTGCGTGCTGTTCAGCCTGGATGGTCCCGTGGCCTTCATGCTAAATGTCTGCTTAGTCTCGCGCCCAGACATGCTCACCATTAGGGGGTTCTGCTTTTGGCTTGGCCTTTATAGAAAGTGCCTCTCCGAGAAGGTTAAGGAAAGCATGTAGTATTGTTTGTCAAAGATCTGCAGGAACCTCGTGACGGACTCACATCAGCTAGAGTCAGCAGACTAAGAACCGTCTTCCTCAGACCCTGCTGGTGTCTTCGGTTGTCCATTACCTTTTGTTGCTCCCATTTCCCCTTCCCTTGCTGTAAAAGAAGCTTGTACTCTGTACTTTCTTAAAATGGATTTGAGAAATAGGTCTTCCATCTTCTCAGTTGGCGCCTTCTCCAGCAACAAACTTTTCTAAGCATCAGAGCATGGGCACTCAGACTTTGGAACAGTAACATGCTTAGTACTTATACTTCTACATAGAACAGAGTGTTTTCACCTGGATTTTTATCATTCTATCTTGGTTCTTATCTTTTTTCCTTATCTTTTAAACATAGAGATTAACCAGGTCTACTAATATTATGTGCCTGTAATTTGCTAATTCCTGTTGTTATCAAGTAGTAGTGTTATCTATAAAACAGTTACACATTTTAATTGCCACTGGAGAATACTCACTAATCAGTTGATTTCTGATAACCTAGCTAGTAAAAATGAAATTTCTTAATATTTATGCACTTCTTCCTATTTGCATAGACTAGTTTTATTTATGACATCATCTTAAAACGAAGCCTTGTTCATTTCCTAGGACTTGATTCCCTTCTATTATAGATGGCAGTGAGGCTGTAGGTCTGATTGTCCATTCCAGATACCTAGGCTGAACAGGTGTCCGTGTCAGCTTTTTAGATTGGGAAGGATTTAGTTTGACTTGAATGTAGTTCGCCTGCCAGGCCTAAGCCTTCTGCTGACCAGTGCATGGACTGTGTCCCAGTGGCCCGAAGAGCCTGAGCCCGTTTGTGCAGGAGCCCACACGCAGAGGAGCTGGGGATGCGTGCGTGCAGGGCGTGGGAGCAGCGGGCGATGGGAGGGCAGCGTGGCCCCGGTAATGAGAGGAGCTTCCTAGAGGTGGGGCGGGCGGGGCCTCCGCTGCTGTTTGGGTCTGAATGTGTGAGCGGGCTTCATGCCTTCCGAAACCCTCTGAACACATCACTCGGGCCTTCTTTGCAGGGTTTTAATTCGCTGGGCCTCGCGAAGTCCATCCACGTTGGCCAGAGTGCTGGCTTCAGCAGTGTTGACCTGGAGAGTTATTTCGATCACGTAAGTGATCCGCGTGAACTCTGACACCTGTTCTGTCTTCCCTCTTCTCTCCGCAGAGGTAGGCACGGGAGGGTGCACGTCCCACCCTGCAGGGAAGGCGGCCAGGAGGCTGGCCTGACTGGTGAGCTGTGAGTGGTTCACTTCCGGGAAGCTTTCAAAGCTCCAGCGCGCTTCGGACAGATCGAGTCCTCCTGCTCCAGGGCTGGCAGTGTTCAGTTGGGCCATACTGCCATCTTGTCTCCCAGGATGACTGCGCTGAGTGGGCACACTGAACGTCCTGCCAGCCCAGGACGAGGCAGCAAGAGCCGGATAAAGGCCTTGGTGTTAAGCTACTGCGATGTGGGGTGGTTTGTTTCTGTAGCATAACCTACCCTGTTTTGTCTAAATAGCTTTTCCAGATTTTTCCTGGCCCTCATCCTGGTCATTCTGATGTCTTCTTCCTTTGTAGTAAGCTTCCTCTGTGCTTCTGTTCTGCAGTCTGACTCCGTTATTGGCCGCTTCGAGATACGCTTTGTAATGAAACTTGACCATTTGAAATGTGAGACCTATCAAACATAAAGGTAGATGGTTCCCAACGCCCCAGGCGGTTCCCGAGGGCACATTGTTACCTCACACAGCTGCGTGAGCCACCGGCACGTGCGGAGGGCCTGGGCACTCTGCTCAGCCCACAGGCATTTGCTGGGAGAGGGTGGGAATGGGCGGCATCGAAGCAGAGGGTGGCGGGCAGCGCTGCAGGACCTGGTGCCACGATGGAGCCAGCTGCTGAGCACTTGAACTGTGGCTGGTGTGTCACAAAGCTGACTTAGACTTAGTCACACAGCACCACCTGACTGTGCTGCCCTCTTAGTGCCATGAGAACAGCGTCGGGAAGACACAATATTAGGTGAAAAAGCAGAATATAAAATATTATTATTCTACATGCTGAAATAAAATGTAAGTTCTATGCAAAGGAAAAAACAGTAATGCCCACACCAAAATACTAACAGTGAACCGTATGAGGATGGGAGATTACGTGTATTCTTAAAAAAACAAAAACAAAAAAAGCATATATATATATATATATATATATATATATACATACATACATACATACATACATACACATATATATAGTGATTTCAGAGAGGAAAGGAAAGGGAGAAAGAGATAAAACGTCACTACTAGGTGCTATAGGACATCGCTAGGGATCGAGCCTACAACCCGGGCATGTGCCCTGATCAGGAATTGAACTGTGACCTGCTGGTTTGTGGGTTGATGCTCAGCCACTGAGCCAAGCCAGCGGGGCAGGCACCTAATCCTGTGGATTTTAACCCACATTTTATATTGGGCCCCACAAATAATATGTATGTGCCACATCAGAGAGAGATTGTGCTTTATAAAAACTATGCTGGCAGGCTCACTTTAGTTTTTATGAAATAAGTGACAGGCAAATCCACATTCTTTAGCCATACAAAATAATGGATTATTTGTGGTAAACTTTAAACTTAAAGGACTAATTCTCTTTACCAGTATTTCAGTGACGTTACTATTCAGTTGCTCGTTTTTTGTTATACTTAAAAATCGTGAGTGATTTCTTACCAGATAAATTCTTTCAGTATTACATAGGAACAGAATTTGACTAGTTCTCGAAATAGCAAAATAAACATGAGTCTAATGGAGCACCAGCACAAGAATATAAATTTCTGAGTTTTCCTTTTAAAAAATATTACAATTTTTAAAGTTTAAAATGCTATTTAGCTAAAATGTCAAAGATTATAGCAACAAAAAAATCTAAGATACCAAAGGTATTTTAATAAAGAGGGACAGTTCATTTGGATATTTTCAAAAGATTAGTAACTTGCCGAAACCGGTTTGGCTCAGTGGTAGAGCGTCGGTCTGCAGACTGAAGGGTCCCGAGTTTGATTCCGGTCAAGGGCGTGAACCTTGGTTGCGGGCGCATCCCCGGTGGGGGTTGTGCAAGAGGCAGCTGGTCGATGTTTCTCTCTCATCGATGTTTCTAGCTATCTCTCTCCCTTCCTCTCTGTAAAAAATCAAAATATATTAAAAAAAAAAAAAGATTAGTAACTTAATTTATACGTGTAAGTGATGCATACCTCTCTCTCGTTCTGCGCAGACCCACATTCGCCTCCATGGGAAGTTAAAGGAGAGCATCCCACCTGGTGCCGCCCGCAGAGGGGAGTTCCGGGCTAGACGCTGCCTGCCAGCCAGACCAATGCTCACCCTCCATGCCCCGCCTCTCTGCCCGCCCCCGGAGTGAAAACCCCCTCCGACACCAACAGCACGTCAGCTGCGGAAGATGCTCTGCGCTCTAAGGAAGTCTGCCACCTGAATTCATGCGCCCTGTCTGTGCGGTTGTGGATGGTTTACCACCTGAAGGCTCCTCCGGCTCTTTCCCAGGCCCCGTCTCGGTCTCTGAAATGTCTCTGCTGCATGCTCTGGGTCCAGTGCAGACCTGGCTGGGACAGGAGCTGGAGAAATGTGGCATCGATGCCATGATCTACACGCGGTATGTCCTCAGTCTCCTGCTGCATGACAGCTATGACTATGACCTGCAGGAACAGGTACGTACCCCTGAGTGTGTGTGGAAATCCATGACTGTTTGCACGCTGGTGTTTCTCTTCCAAGGGCGCTCGCACACTCTGGCGGCAGTCCGATGACCGCGGCCTCTGAGGGCCTGCTCCAGTGTGGCTGCTGCTCGTCCGGACGTGCCAGTCATTGCATCAGTTACCAGCTCGCTCTCCACGGTGCAGTGCTGTGCTTTACCTGCAAGAATGGTGTGTCCCAGTCAGCAGGCTTACCCGTCAGAGTGTGTGTCCCAGTCAGCAGGCTTACAGTTTGCTGACGCACATGGCTTCGCCATAGTCATTGCGTTTCACCTGGCGAATTGGCCTTCCCACATTTTGTTTGATGTAAGTTCTGAGCTTAAAGTGAGGAAGCAACCACATCCAGGTTCTTGAGGAAAACCTCATCCATCTCAGTTTCCCGGGGGAGCCGAGAGGGAGGTCGGCCCAGCGGGAGTGGAGTCACCGCCAGCAGGCACGGGCTCTGGGTGACTGCTGTGTACACATGTCACTCAAAACGCAGTGTTTGGGGGGCAGTTTCTGCTGTTTTAAACCATGTTATTAACCCAGAAGAGCCTCAGTCCCTCAGATATAGGGTTTCAGTGTGCTTGGTCTGTGTCCCTTTGGGCTCCTCACCCTTCCCAGCTGGACACACCGCTCTCCTCACCCTTCTTAGCTGGACACACCGCTCTCCTCACCCTTCCCAGCTGGACACACCGCTCTCCTCACCCTTCTTAGCTGGACACACCGCTCTCCTCACCCTTCTTAGCTGGACACACCGCTCTCCTCACCCTTCTTAGCTGGACACACCTCTCTCCTCACCCTTCTTAGCTGGACACACCGCTCTCCTCACTCTTCTTAGCTGGACACACCGCTCTCCTCACCCTTCTTAGCTGACACACCGCTCTCCTCACCCTTCTTAGCTGGACACACCGCTCTCCTCACCCTTCTTAGCTGACACACCGCTCTCCTCACTCTTCTTAGCTGGACACACCGCTCTCCTCACCCTTCCCAGCTGGACACACTGCTCTCCTCACCCTTCCCAGCTGGACACACTGCTCTCCTCACCCTTCTTAGCTGGACACACCGCACTTGCCGGGGCCTACTGCCTTGGCTGGAAAGAATTAGGTCATGCCGGGACCGGTTTGGCTCAATGGATAGAGCGTTGGCTTGGGGTCCCGGGTTCGATTCCTTCAAGGGCATGTACGTTGGTTGCGGGCAGATCCCCAGTAGAGGGTGTGCAAGAGGCAGCTGATCGATGACTCTCTCATCGATGTTTCTAACTCTCTACCTCTCTCCCTTTCTCTTTGTACAAAATCAATAAAATATATTAAAAAAAAAAAAAAAAAAGAATTGGGTCAAACAGAGGTTCCAGGGGATTGGCTTATAAACCTAACTTGAGGCCCGGTACACAAAATTCTTACATGGGGGCAGGAGGGTGTCCCTCACCCCAGCCTGCACCTTCTTCAACCTGGGACCCCTTGAGGGATGTCCGACTGCCCATTTAGACCCGATCCTGGGATCCCTCTCACAATCCAGGATGGCTGGCTTCCAACTGCTCGCCTGCCTGCCTTCCTGATTGCCCCTAACCGCTTCTGCCTGCCAGCCTGATCACCCCCTAACCACTCCCATGCCAGCCTGATTGATGTCTAACTGCTCCCCTGCCAATCTGTTTGCCCCCAACTTCCCTCCTCTGCCCGCCTGGTCACCCCTAACTGCCCTCCCCTGAAGCTTGATTGCCCCCAACTGCCCTCCCTTGCAGCACTGGTCCCTCTCAACTGCCTTCCCTTGCAGGCCTGGTGCCTCCCAACTGCCCTCCCCTGCTGGCCATCTTGTGTCCACATGGGGCAGGATCTTTGACCACATGGGGGCAGCCATATTGTGTGTTGGAGTGATGGTCAATCTGCATATTACTCCTTTATTAGATAGGATAGAGGCCTGATGCACGGGTGGGGGCCGGCTGGTTTGCCTGGAGGATATCCCAGATCAGGGTGGGGGTTTCCTTGGGGCGTGGGGCAGCCTGAGGGAGGGGCCTGTGGTAGTTTGCAGGCCAGCTATGCCCCCTGGTGACCCAAGTGGAGGCCCTGATATCTGGAATTTATTTACCTTCTACAATTGAAACTTTGTAACCTGGAGCAGAGCCAAGCCTCCTGCTGGCTCCATGACCTGCAGCCATTTCTGTTGGGTTTTATGTATCTTCTATAATTGAAACTTTGTAGCTGGAGTGGAGGCTAGGCCAGCAAGGGCAGGCAGAAAGTTTGGCTTCTTCCATTACTGGGGAAACCCAAGCCTTCCTCCTGCTCTCTGTGTCTGTAGCCATCTTGGTTGGTTTTATTTGCATACTCGCTCTGATTGGTAGGTGTGATTTATGGGTGTAGCAGAGTGATGGTTAATTTGCATATTATTCTTTTATTAGGTAGGGCTAGAGGCCCGGAGCACGGGTGGCGTCCAGTTGGCCCCACCCCCAATCGGGATGGGGGATATCTGATGGGGGTGGGGCCGGCTGGGAGAGGGGCTGTGCGCAGTTGGCAGGTTAAACTCCGATCAAACTTCCTATCAAACTTCCCTTGATTATGAATCAATTTCATATTACCCTTTTATCACATACGATAATTAGAAATGGTCAAAATTTTGTATAAGGATACCAAGGTTCTATAATTTTCCATTATTTTCCCATTAAATGTAAAATATACTTCAAAGCAAAATGTTAAATCTATAAACATGGACAAATATTTATTTCTAGAAATAAGGAGGTTATTTCTCTAAACTCAAAAATCATGTCCTCTTGGAATTGTCCTATATAATAAAACTCTAATATGCAAATTGGCCAAACGGCATAATGACCTGTCACTATGATGTGCACTGACAACCAGGGTGCAGACGCTCAATACAAGAGCTGCCCCCTGATGGTCAGTGTGCTCCCACAGTGGGGAGCGCCGCTCAGAAGCTGGGCTCATAGCTGGCGACCACAGCGGTGGTGGCGGGAGCCTCTCCTGCCTCCATGCAGGCAGGTGGTAAGGAGAGAGGGGTCCCGGACTGTGAGGGGGACGTCTGACTGCCGGCTTAGGTCTGATCCCTAAGGGAAATGGGCGTAAGCCACAGGCGGACATTCCCCAAGGGGCCCCGGATTGTGAGAGGGCACAGGCCAGGCTGAGGGACACCATCTCGTCTCCCCTCTCCCCCAGTGCACCAGACCTCTAGTATATTAATATCAGTCTAAAGTATTTAATAAGTGGCCAATAAATTTGTTAGCACAAAGTATTTATGTACTAGGTGCTATAGGACATCAAAAAGGGCATACAGCATAGGCCTACTGTTAAGATTGTAGTTGAACACATCTCTGATGAGCTGTGTCTGTGAGTCCTCCGGTTTTCTTATTAGCGGGGGCTTGGAATCAGAGGTCAGCGCTGCTCTTGGTGCCCAGCTGTGTTTGCTCCTCCCTCCAGGGTTCAGGTTCGGTTCTGTTCATTTTTAGGAAACAGGACATCCTGGAGTTACAAGGGGAATCCACAGGGAAGTTGAAGACCCCTAAACACCTCTTCAACTTAGCCTAGGGCGGGAGTGCCAGGGCCCATGCAAATGCTCCTTGTAATTAGAGGTGACCTAAGTCAGTCAGCACCTCCATTCCTGTCCCTGACTGAAGGGGATGATGTGCTCGTTGTTTCTTCAGAAAGAGTTTGGCGAGGAGCTAGGAAACCTCTCTCGGAGGATGAGAAGGGAAGGCCTTAGCTCCCCTGTGATCCAGACCCCAGCTAGCAGTCCCGTTTGCCAACTATTGTGGACAAGGAAGGGTGCCATCTTTCCTGGTCTCTCCGTCAGGCTTCTGGGGGTCTAGACCCTCAGCTGGAGGTCACATGACTCCACTTTTGCTGGTTCAGTGGCCGCTTGCTCTGGGGCCTTCCTGCGCAGCAGTGCCCATGGGAAGCTGCCTTCTCCTGAAGCTGCCGGCTCCACGCCTGCTGCAAGCCACACAGGAGAGCCTCCCTGCTGCTCGCGTCCTCGTGGGCCTGGTGCTGTCAGGGCCCCAGATTTGGCCGTTCTGAGCGGTGCCAGCTCCGGCCGTCTCTGGCTGCTTCGCTCGCGTGTCTGTCAGTCAGTGTCAGGTGGTTTTCTTATTGCTGAGTGCTTCAGAGTTTTTTGTGTATTCTGGATAATAGTCTTTTATCAGATGTGTCTCTTGCAAATTTCCCCCCAGCCTGTGGCTTTTCTTCTAATCCACTTGACATTGTTGTTCAAAGAGCAGTTTGTATTTTAATGAAGTTAAAACTTATTTTTTCTTTGATGAATTGTCCACTAGTTATTTTTATAAATACATTTTTATTGATTTCAGAGAGGAAGTGAGAGGGAGAGATAGAAATATCAGTGATGAGAGAGAATCATTGATTGGCTGCCTCCTGCATGCCCCACGCTGGGGATCAAGCCCACCATGTGGACATGTGCCCTGGCCATGCATGGAACCATGACCTTCTGGTTCATAGGTCAATGCTTAACCACTGAACCACACCAGCCAGGCCATCATAATCATTTTTAAATGTGCAGTGTAGAGGTATTAAATACATTCATAAATGTTGTGAAAGCATCACCACCATCCATCCCATAACTTTTCATCTTGTAAATATAAAAAACTGTCCCCATTAAACAAATTTCCTACTCCCTTCTTCCCCTGCTCTTGGCCACCACTATTAGACTTTCTGTCTTAATGACCTGACCATTTTTCGTTCCTTGTATCATTGGAATGATTTAGTATTTGTCTTTTTGTGGCTGGCTTATTTCACTGAAGGGTAAGGTTCATCCATATGGTTGCATGTGGCTGAATTTTATTCCATTGTATGTATATGCAGCATTTTGCTTATCCATCCATCAATGGACACTAGGTTTTCTTCTTCGTTTTACCTATTCTTTTGTGAATAATGCCGTTGTGGACATAGTGTACAAGCACGTCAAACTCAAATGCGGCCCACAACAAATATTTTTGCAGCCCAGCCAATATAAAGTTATAT